AGCAGCAACCCAAAGACCTTATCCTCTTCACGCCTAGCATTCAGGGTAGATGGGTCTACTGTAGGAGGTCTGAGCATCTCCAGCTCTGCCCACAGAGATCTGAACTTGCCAAAGTGAGCTTGAAACTCCATATCAGCCTGGCTGAGAGCATTAATAGCCCTTTTAACTTCAAAAACTCGAGTTAGATTGGAGATGTTTCTATAAACCTTACTAAGAGTTTCCCATAATTCTTTGGAGCTCTCACAATACGAATAAGCTTCCAAGATAGCTGGATCCAGAGAGTTTTGAATGACTGAGAGCACTAAGAGATCCTCCTGACCCCATTTATCTTCATCAGTCACTACCACCTCTTTTCCATCCTCTCCTTGTGTGGTTGACTTTGGTACTTCTCCAGAAGCTACATGATTCCAAAGTCCTCTTCCACCAAGGGCAGTTTTCACTAATCTGGACCATAAGAGATAATTAATCCCTTTTAGAGTCACAGGGATGGTAATAGGCTTCATTTTCTCCATCTTTCACTGCTATTGACCAGTGGATAATAGAGTGAATCTTGGAAGGAAATGAAGTAAGAACAGAGATTTTGCTTTTGCGGAAGTAAAGAGTAGGTTCAGAAGCCTTGTGGCTCTGATACCATGTTGAAATGTGAGTATTTAGAGACTGATTTGTTTGAGAAGAAGGAAGAACAACAAGAACAGAGGAGAGAAGGTAGTATTTTCGTGAGAGAGAGAAGAGAGGAGAGAGAGAGTTACACAAGAGAATTTAATTCTGAGGAAAACAGTTTCCTTTACTTTTTAGGTTGCTTACAACATGTATTTAAAGTCAAATCATGCTTACAAGGACAGGAGATTTAATATATAAAACTCAACCCACTTGCATCTGCTTTGTCCAGAACCCCCAACGGTCTTCTCCTCTTTAAACCAATTGTAACCTTCTCAAACCAATTGTAACCTTCACCATTCGAATAATTATTCTCCTCTAGTCCTTTTTATTGCTTCATGTTCACACTATAAACTTATTTTATGGTAAAAGATGTTCTTCAAGCTCTTGTTACGGAATTTTGTGGCCTAGTTCACGGATATACCACTGCGTTTAGGGAAAGGTGATTATGGAACTCTGATTTCTTGTGAAACACGGAAACGAAGCCGAGATAAAAGCAATTGCACCTGTGAAGAGTGATAACTGATAACAGATTTTTTTCAAAATAAAACAATTATGTATATTTTAATTAATATACAACATAAAAAATTTTAAAATTGTGACTCAAATGTTTGTAACACTTATAAATTTAAAATTTATTCTAATCTGGAATCACTTAAAACTTAATTGGATTTAGTATAATATTCCATTTGTGACACAAGAATAATATAAAGCCTCCTTTTAAAGACGGGAGAATAAGCTTAAATTAGGATTTAGAAAGATACATATGCCCTTAATTAGTTTTTGGCAAACCTCAAACTTCGCATTTTGATCAACAACAAACTAAATAAAGATCCTCACATCACAATTATTAGAGAAAAAATAGTACATAAATTAAGGAAAAATATCCATAAAACATTTCTGAAAACGTTTTTTTGGGGGATTGTTAACTAATTAACTAACTAGCATAATGGCGCGCCTTCCCCTAGTCCTCCTCCTCCTCGTCTTCATCACCGTCTCCGCCGTGATGGTATCAGCCGCTGATAAACCACCGTCGACGTCCACCGCCGAAGCTCCCGCCGCAGCAACTCCAACCGATGTACCGGAGGTTCCAGCTGGAGACGAAAACGCCATAGGAACAACCGACAACGATGCAGCTGCTACTCCCGGAGATGATGACGTGGCGGTCGCAGGTCCTATAGGAAGCGATTCTTCATACGCAAACTATCCGCCGGCTCAAGAAACTTCCGGGAGCTGTGTCACATGCACCATTGGTTTTGTTATTATCTCTGCTGCGACCGTTGGATCGCTCTTCTTAGTTTTCTGAGCTGCAATTGGTGCATGAAAATGATATGGCAAATGAATGTTTTGTAATGTTTTCTTGTAGATGTATAAGCATATTGCTTCTCCCCTCATCTATTAGATTGGGAAGATACATATAAACACTACTGCATGATTTCTCTATGTGATATATATAGTTTGTAGTTTATTATAACATCAAAAGCACCCTTCAAGTAGGTAAATAAAGAGACAGTGAGAAATATTGAAAGAAACAAAATTTGAACTGAATGGTGGTAGCCTAGTGGCAATTTTTTTTGAGTTTGGTGTGTATTCACATTAGTTCTGGTTTCAATTTGTTCTGAGAACTAAATTATCATTATTTGGAGTTGGACTCCGGTCCAAGTTATTTACATGATGGTCTATAACACATATGATGTGTCAAATTCGAATCAGGCAGTGTGATATTTTTTTTGGATTAGTCCACTCTATAATACTAAATTATCATTATTTGAAGTTGGACTCCGGTACAATTTATTTACATGATGGTCTATAACACATGATGTGCCAAATTCGAATCAAGCAGTGTGATACTTTTTTGGATTAGTCCACTCTATAATACTAAATGTGTTTTTTTTCGACACCGACCGAGGTTTATAAGAAAAAAAAAAGAAACAAATTTTTTTTGCTTTTCAAAATTTAGGATTATGAATGAATTGTAGTTAGATCATAATTAACCTGAACTTTTAGGATGAGATTCTTAACGGAAGTTAATAAACTATTTCTTAACTTTTAACTAAAAAACTAAGAACCAGTTCTTATATAAGGACTTTAAGAACCGATTCTTAGACTTTTTTAGTTGAAATTAAAAAATAATTTCTTAGCTTCCGCTAATAACTCCACCTTAAGAACCTCAGGTTAATCATGGTCTTATTAGAACTTTTCTTTTTTGTAGTGCACTTCAATTTAGAAACAAAACGATTCTACTTGAAAGCGTCCAAGACTTTAGCTCTCCGCAAATCGTGACTATGTCCATATAGCATTATGGCCCAATGGTATATGGCCCATTAGTGACATTACCCTAATTGTAATCTCTTTAGTGTCTGTCTATATAACCATCTAACCTAACTCTTCAGAGCTCAGTCAACCTCCATAAGCCGTCTGAATACTATCATCTTCCACAGTTCTCGATTGTTTTCAATATCTTTTCTTTTTATAACAATTAAGATCGCTTTCGAAAGGCGTTGCGCTCTTCGTCTCGGGATTCACTTTCCCTGAAGGGCGTGTCACCGGAAGCGTACATCGAAAAATATTCAATCCGATCGATAGGGATGCGAAACTCGGATTCGTTCGAATTAGCAAAACCTCGAAACCGGTGGCTGATCTTACCAATGCTGGTCGCTATCGATTAATCGGATTGAGAAATTTGGAATCTAAATTTATCTTTTTATCTGAACTGATTAATTTAAAAATTGATGGTTTTGGGGATGGGATTTGCTTCATAATGGTGAACTCTCTTAGATATAAGTGAGAGATGTTCAAGTTTCCGGAGCAAAGATCAAACTGGCCAGAATTAAACAGCACTGTGTTTATTCCTAATTTTCACAGCGTTACCTGTCTTCTGGTATATATTAATTAATTCCATCGTTCACATAATCATCAGAGTGTTTTTAATTAATAAATTTTTACTTGTTTTAACGATTAAGTTTGTAATTGATAGATAATCAGATCAATTTTTAAATGAACCAATTTAACTGGGTTGGTTATAAGTTATTGTTTGAGCACAAAATAATGATTAATTGATTAACGGAAGAAAACCCTTTTCGACAACTCAAGTCTCATTTATAGGCCCAAATGAGTGGGCCAAAATATTTTGTTGGAAGACCATTCGTTTTTAACCGAACATTTGAAAAACGTAATCTAATCAAGGGAAACCAGAACAAAACGTATGATCCAACCTAACTAAAAATGAAAAACCTAATCTTAATAAGCGGAACATGAACAAAACCGTTTATGAGTTTGTCACTTGGAAGATATTTGGTATGAACAAAAAAAAGATTTGGTATGATATGAAATACTAATATCAATTCGTAGCCTTCATTCTTCGAGTTTCTTACGTTACCACTGCCTAACAAACACGCACAACAATTTTTGATTGATTACTCGAAAGCTTATTTTTAGTTTTGTTTATAAACCAAAGTTAAATATGCAACATTTGAAACTATGCCTTGGCATTTGGATGTTCGGTTCCAGATAGAAATCATTCGGTTCCGAATATATCGGATAAATCATTTTTATATCCAATAAATATTTAGGAGATTTCGGTTCGGCTCTAATTTCGGTTTGGTTTCGGGTACTCATTTAATATATAAGTCAAATATATATATATCCAAAATATATTTGTTAATATGTTAATTTAAATGGTCTAGTGTTTACACGCTTACATATTAGTCAATCCAATAAGAGTTCGAATCAATTAAGTGTTAATTTATAAATATTTATTATATTTTAATATAGAAATATCATATATATTTATAATATAACAAAATAAATAAAAGATAACGTGGTCTGGTGGTAAAAATGTATTTACTCTTTGTATCTAACCTGAGTTCAAGTGGGCTTGATGTCATTTTATCTTATTTTTTTAAGAAATTAACTTGTTTTTGGGGTATAGAAATATAAGAACCATTCGAATATTTAAGAATTTTGGTCTGGTTTTGGTTTTAGGTATTTCGGTTCAATTTCGGTTCGGTTTTTCGGTTCTGTATTTTTTTTTGCCTAGGCCTATTTGAAACATGACTTTAACTTTCTATTATTATATAAGATTGACAAATTATCACAAAAAAAAAGATAATCAAACCTAACTGAAAAAATAAAATAAAAACTACTCAAAATAAGGTAAACCAGAACAACAAAAAGATTGAAACCTTAAATAAACACAAGTTGTCACTAGAAAAAAGAGGTAGGAGATGGAATAATAATTTGCGTTCGTAGCCTCTATTTTTGTAGTTTCTTACGTCACCACTGCCTAACCAACACACACAATTTGCGTTATCAATACCATACACATTTGCTTTACGTCTACAACAAGAAAACGTCGTGTTCTTGATATAGACCAATCCCCTAAAAAACTGTCCAAACCCTTAAGCAAAAATGCACCGAACGCATGATGAATATTAAGTTTACTTACCTTTACGGAACATAAACTATAAACCTTGAAAACCCAAATTTTCATATGTTTTCTACTTACCACAAAAGATTAAAAAAAAAAAGCACAAGAAAATGTCTAATGAAAACTCTGTAATGTCATTGATACATCGCATCTCCACTCATCTCTGCCTTCAAGACATATCAATAGCTTTATTAGGTCTTTTTCTTTTCTCTTGCTTGCGAGCCAAGCTAACAAACAAAGGCGGACCAATACAATGGCCAGTCTTTGGGATCACCCCAGAGTTCTTCCTCCAAATTCACGACGTATACGGATGGGTCACAAGATGTTTAACCAACAGCCAAGGCACGTTTCCTTACCAAGGAGTCTGGTTCAGTGGATCCTACGGAGCCATGACAAGCGTTCCCGCAAACATAGAGTACATGCTCAAAACCAACTTCAAGAACTTTCCTAAAGGAGATTTTTACAAAGAGAGGTTCCGTGATTTGCTTGAAGAAGGTATCTTCAACGCTGATGACGAGTCTTGGAAAGAGCAGAGACGTATCATTATAACCGAGATGCACTCAACAAGATTCGTAGACCATTCATTCCACACCACTAGAGAGTTGATACAGAGAAAGCTCTTGAAAGTGATGGAGAGTTTCTCAAAGTCTCAAACATCTTTTGATCTTCAAGAGATTCTTTTGAGGTTGACGTTTGATAATATCTGCATCGCGGGTCTTGGCAATGATCCTGGGACTTTGGATGTTGATCTTCCTCAAGTTCCATTCGCTAAGGCCTTTGAAGAAGCTACAGAGTCTACTATGTTTAGGTTTATGATTCCACCGTTTTTGTGGAAACCTATGAAGTTTTTTGACTTAGGGTATGAGAAGGGGTTGAGGAAAGCTGTTGAGATGGTTCATGGGTTTATAGACAAGATGGTTGTGGAGAGAATCAAGATGCTTAAAGAAGAAGGAACGTTAGAGGGAAACAAATCTGATGTTCTCTCGAGACTAATCCTTATAGAGAGTCATAAAAGAGGTAATGAGAATGATCGGTTCACGGTTAAGTTTTTCAGACAGTTCTGCACAAGTTTCATCTTAGCGGGACGTGACACGAGTTCTGTTGGGCTTTCTTGGTTCTTCTGGTTGATAACAAAACATCCTGAAGTCGAAAACAAGATCCTCCAAGAAATAAGAGAGATCTTGAGCCAAAGAGAGAATAATCTTTGTTACTTCACAGTCAAGGAACTAAACGACATGGTGTATCTACAAGCGGCCTTGTCTGAATCTCTTAGACTCTATCCACCGATTCCAATGGAGATGAAGCAAGCAACGGAAGAAGATGTGTTTCCTGATGGGACTTTCTTGGAGAAAGGTTCTAGGGTTTACTTCTCGATCTATGCAATGGGAAGGATGAAATCTATTTGGGGTGAAGATTGTGAAATGTTTAAGCCAGAGAGATGGATACAAGGAGGACAATACGTGAGTGATGATCAGTTTAAGTACGTTGTGTTTAACGGCGGTCCAAGGCTTTGTTTGGGGAAGACATTTGCTTATTTGCAGATGAAAATGGTGGCTGCTTCCATCTTGTTGAATTACTCAATCAAGGTTGATCAGGGTCATGTTGTTGAGCCGAGAGTTACAACGACTTTGTATATGAAACATGGTCTTAAGGTTAGGATCATGAAGAGATCTCTAGAGGAGAAGAAGCAAGAGTCATAAAGAAGAAAGCCAAATCACCTAAACTTGTGCCATGGAGCTTGTTACTAATATATTTGTTTATATATGGTTATTGTAAGATCTTCACTCTTTGTTCTATCTTAAAGTAGATTAGACACTTATATAATCTTTATTTGTGAAATGTACAGTGTGTGTATTCTGTGTAATGCAGATTAAAATGTTATATAAAACAAAAATTTGCAATCAAAAGGTACATACGTAACATACCCTAAATATGATTTCTTAGAGCATATGTCCATTGATGAATTAGAGTTCGACTCCTGATTATTTTATTTTATTTTTGTTTGATTTAAAAAAAATTAATAAATATATTAATTATGAACTGTGTCACGTAGTATGGGGTATGCGAAACAATAATAATCCATTCCTTACTTCCCTGCAACCCAGGTTCACAAAGTTTACATTATTATATTTATTTTTTTCTTGGAAATTGTGTGAATCTTTGGTGTAAATCCCCAATAGGTATGGTCTTACTTACACAATCTATATTATTATTTAAGAAGTAAATTTGCTTAATTGTCATGTTCTCCTTGATTTTAGCTAAATTTGTTTATTTATCTTATTTAAATAATTTCATTGGAAAAAGGGGCACCCGTGGGAACATCTCTACTGACGAACCATTTCAATAGTACGGGTGCTGCCGTGCCACAAGGCACGACCATACAATTTATTATTTAATAAAAACGAATTTCTACTAATAATATTATACTTTTACAAAATAAGATAATTCTTATGTATTATATTGCTATCTTTAAAATCTATTTTTTTTATCATAGAAATTAAAAATTAAGTTACAATATTAATAGCTAAATATAAAGAAAGCAATTCTAATTTATCAACTTCTCCATGGTTTTATACTTTGCTTATTTATCATACTTTAATAATTTCATATATAAATTATTAAATAATAAAACGAATGTATATAATAATACTAGATTTTTTTTTTAAAAAAGAAGATAATTCTTATAGATTGTTATCTTAAACATATATTTTCTATTAGAAAATTTAAGTGAATTATCTAATTTGTAATTTCTCCATGGTTTAGATAATTTAGATTATTTTCATATTTTTAATAATTTCATATAAAATTTATTATAAAACAAAATCGAATTTTTATTAAAAATTATATTTTCAGAAAATAAGATACTTCTTATGTATTATAGTGTTATCTTGAAAATATATTTTTTATTATAGAAATAAAAAATTAAGATAGAAAAATATATAATTAAAATAAATTAAAGCAACACATTTGTAAAAATATTTTGTTATGTGAGTGTTTTCATTTATAATTAATTTTAAAACATAAATCATAATTTATTATATTGGTTTGAATTAATAAAATATAGACTAATAATAAATTGTACGAAAATTATTTATTTAAGAAGTAAATTTGCTTAGTTGTCATGTTCTCCTTGATTTTAGCTAAATTTGTTTATTTATCTTATTTAAATAATTTCATATACAATTTATTATTTAACAAAAACGAATTTCTATTAATAATATTATACTTTTACAAAATAAGATAATTCTTATATATTATATTGCTATCTTTAAAATATATTTTTTTTATCATAGAAATTAAAAATTAAGTTAAAATATTAATAGCTAAATATAAAGAAAGCAATGCTGATTTATCAACTTCTCCATTGTTTTATACTTTGCTTATTTATCATATTTTAATAATTTCATATATATTTTTTTAAATAATAAAACGAATGTATATAATAATACTAGATTTTTAAAAAAGAAAAGATAATTCTTATAGATTGTTATCTTAAACATATATTTTCTGTTAGAAAATTTAAGTGAACTATCTAATTTGTAATTTCTCCATGATTTAGATAATTTAGATTATTTGTCATATTTTTAATAATTTCATATAAAATTTATTATAAAATAAAATCGATTTTTTATTAAAAATTATATTTTTCAGAAAATAAGATACTTCTTATGTATTATATTTTTATCTTGAAAATATATTTTTTATTATAGAAATAAAAAATTAAGATAGAAAAATATATAATTAAAATAAATTAAAGCAACACATTTGTAAAAACATTTTGTTATGTGAGTGTTTTCATTTATAATTAATTTTAAAACATAAATCATAATTTATTATATTGGTTTGAATTAATAAAATATAGACTAATAATAAATAGTACGAAAATTATGTCCGCATGTGCGGGCAAAACACCTAATTTTTAGAAATTTCAGATATGTAGTTGTGTACAATCCGGTTTAGTCGGTTTAAAAACTAGACCGACAAGGGAAAAAAAAATACAAAACACTTTAGATTATTACATAATTTTTAGAATTAAAATATCATAAAAACTATTTTATAATTCATGTTGTAGCACAACACTGATCCACACCGATATTGAAACTGGACACAGCATCGAGATAAAACTCAGTGCATCAAACCAATTTTTAGCAAAAGAACAACATTAATTTTCCTACAAGTTTATTCTTAAGAACAACACAACTCTTAGTCTAAAGTCTGATCTATTACACAGTTCAACTTCTTGTTCCTCTGGACTCTTTGAACCCAATCACTGGTGAAGAAAATATGTGTCAATTTTATATGGTAATAATATTTTTTTTTTCAAATTTGTTATATAATATTTTTTCAACATTCCCATATATTATACAAAGAAATTAACAAAACTGAATCAAGAATATACGTACATTGACGATTTTTTTATTTAAATGAATCACTGACTGACATGTATTAATTTGCAAATTAACAATCATTGACATAAAAAATTAACCAATATTTAATAAAAAGATTAATTAAAGACGTTTTATGCCAACAACTCGTGTTTCATTACTTTAGCGGTTTAGCCCACGGACATAATCCTGAGTACATAGTAAACTTGTAGGATAGGTACAAGTACTAGCAGAACCAATCCTGAGTACATAATAAACTTGTAGTGTTGGTTTGATATGCCTAAAAAAGTATTGTTTGAACCCAAGATCCTTTACTACAGGAAACACTTTTTTTTTAACCCAACAACATAAGTAACATAACCCTAGTCTAACTCTGCTAAAACTCACACTTCATGTGCTTGCTCATTTCTTGAAGATTCTATGACCTAAGAATCGGAACAAGCTCAAGAGGAGTTTTCTTAACAGTGGTGACATCACCAGATTCTTCCATGTCCATACCATTACTCTCCTCTGGCAACTTCCAGTCAAAGAAGTAAAGCAAATTCAATAATCCCAACTCAACAGTTGCAATCCCGAAAGCCATCCCTGGACACATCCTACGACCAGAACCAAAAGGCAACATCTCAAAGCTATGTCCTTTGTAGTCCACAGGACAATCCATAAACCTCTCCGGGATAAACTCCTCTGGATTCTCCCAGTGTTTATGATCCTGTGCTATGGCCCATGCGTTGACTATAAGAAGAGTTTTTGGAGGAATATTGTAGCCTTGAATCTTTAGTGGACTCATTGTCTCTCTTGGGAGTAACAAAGGAGCAGCTGGGTGTAGTCTTAAGGTTTCTTTCACCACAAGTTTCAAGTACTGAACTTTGTCAAGATCTTCTTCCGAGATTCTCTCTTCTGGTTTGATTGTAATACTTGTTCTAATCTCTTCTTGAGCTTTCTTCATCACTCTAGGGTTTCTAATGAGCTCTGCCATCGCCCAAATCATGATGATGGCACTTGTGTCTACTCCAGCAAGAAATAGATCCTAGTCAAGAAACTTGTATTAGGTCAGGTTCTTGATTCAAGAAACATTGTTTTCTCTGTTTCATTTTACTTGATGTTTAAGATTGATTAATACACAAAACATCATATCTAAAACTAATTCAACCAATAAAAAAACATTTGTAGTTTGTGACTGGTCACAAATTTTTAAAAATATTACATTTTTAAAAAATTACCTAGAATAATGAGAACATAAATTATTTTGCAACAAAAAAAAATCTTTAAAAATCAAATAAATTAGAACAGAAGAAATATTAAAGATTATTTACTTACTGAGATAACCCCATGGACATGATCAGTTGTGAGCTTAAAAGACTCATCTTGTTCTTGTTTCTCTATCATATCAAACATCACATCGACAATATCAGGACGATCTGGAGTTATTTCCCCATGCCTATTCTTCAAGTGATCATCAGCCACTTTCCTCACAAAACTATCTACCTCTAGAAAAGCGTTACGAAGTCTCTTATGTTCTCCTAACACAAAGTCTATAAACCATCCAATACCAGCAACAGGGAAAAGATCAGTGAACTTGAAAGTCATATTTGCAAGAGCTTCAAACATCAATTCTTCGATCTTTTCCTTACTGATCTGCTTGCTTTCGAAGTAGTTCTGTCCAAAGGCTGATCTAAATAAGATACTAGCAGTCAGAGAGAAAAGAATTTTGCTCAAATCCACAGGAGATTGCTTCAAAGCTGATTCTGTCAGTTTCTTGATCAACAAGTCATTCTCTTCCTCTCTTATATACCTAAAAGATTGTACTCTTTTCGCGTTGAGGAACTCAAGAACAGCAAGTTTGCGCAGCTCTCTCCACTCCTCACCGTATGAAGCGAAACCGATGTCTTTACCGTTACGTGAGAAAGTCTGCATGCCGAGAGCCTTGGGCCGTGTGCAGCACTCTAGGTCATGTGTTTTGAGAACTTCTTCAGCTGCTTCACTTGATGAGACTACAAGGACTGGGACAAACCCTAGGTGGAGAAGCATGACGGGTCCATGTTTCTTGGAGAGATCGTGAAGACGTCTGTGAAGTAGTCCTCGGAGCTGGTGTAGGTTTCCGATGAACGGAAGCTTTGGTGGACTTGGAGGAAGATTATGCTTAGAGTATTTGATCTTCTTGGTGTAAATTAATGAGAAGAGAACGGGGAAGAGTAGAAGCAAGATGAAAGATAGTAGAGTCACCATTGTTTACGTTTTTCTCTGAGATTTTTCGTTTTTGGAGAGATAGATAAACAAAGTATTAAATGACAAACAACACCGTCTTGAGGTTTTGAAGTACGTAAGACACAAGTGGGTTTGGATATATACGAACTAGGAGTGTAAGTCGGTTTATATTGATTACATTTAACTTACATGTCGTTTATTGTAAGTGATAAGCATTGAGATGGAGGCTGAGAGCAGCAACCGAACAAGGGTCATTGCACCAAAGCCTCTTAATGTCAGCCAATGTATGCGTAGGTAGATCTAAATGTGGCATAATAGTTTTACATTTATGTCTAATGTCCGGAAGTTATATTATGTACTGTTAACGTGGTTGAAATATCATGTAGAGATTGGCAAACAATGTATGCAAAACAAGTTGGGAAATGAAAAAGTTGTTGTTGAGTTAAAAAAAAAGAGAGTTTTCTAGTTTGAAGAATAATGTCAATGTTCCATTCGGTTGCGTTCAAAACCGGTCTTGAATACATTACAGCATGTCCATTAGTGGTTGTTACAGAAAACTCTAAAAAAAAAGTTAAAATAATTACATGAAAAAAGAAAGTGTTAGATAAAAATTCTATAAAAAATATTTTTAGGACCGGTTCTAAATTTTGTGCTGCTACATGTCATGTCATGGTATAGGCTTAACATTTACAAACAAATTAACTTTAATCAGGAATTTTTATTATGTTATAAGTATTTAATGGTTTATATACTGATTTTTAGAACTCCACCATTGGTGGTGCTCTTAGCTCATTAAGGACTTGAAAATCATATACCGTGGAGTGTGGAGGAACAGTCACTTCTTTAAAGCTCAACGGAAAGTGCTGTTTATACTCGTTTCACTCACTCCTCCAGGGCTCAAAATCAAGCTTGAGCACCTTAGCTTGTTTCTCAAGAATTTTGTTCATCTCTTGCAAAGTTAACTTAACATCCATAAGCATTGGTAGATGAGTTGTATCAGATATGAAAATATGAATTTTCAAAGTTCGCACAATCCCAAAACAATATATGATCTTGAAAGTGAGAATTAATATTGGCTTCTAAATCTCGTTAGTAAAATAACGGAAAAAAGGAACAGTAATAGGATAATTTTATTAGAATTCGCTTCTGTCACACGTAATTACTCAAAAAATTAACATTATTGTCGCATAGCAACGCAACTAACATAGAATCTGTGTGACACATCTCGTCCGTTACACCATGTAAGCCTCCTGCAATCACAATTTGGCATACTAACAAAATGTATTAGTACCTGAAAATTATCTCTACAACCGATAATTTATTACCAACTGAAAATAAATTTTAAGAAACCTTTTCTCTAAATCTAACTTGTAATATCTATGAAAATATTTCTATGCATAATAAGGAACATTAAATAAAATTTGTAAAATATGAAAATCTTTTTCTCTAAATCTTATTTTGTCAAAAATTTAAAATGACGAAAATAGACCTTGCAGATAGACATGAAAGCGTAATCTGACGTGCTATCACCCAACCCCAAATCAGGTAAGCCATCACCACTAAACTTCTTCAAAACGGCGTCGCGTTTATTCTGACCAACCATGATACCCGGTTTTCTAGCAAAACCGGTTAACCAACCAAACCTCGTAACCCCAAGCTCCGTACCAATAACCTCATCAGCGTCAAGAAAGTCCTTAGCGAACGGCTTCACCATAGCCCGAGGACTCGCCGTCACAATATACCGTCTCCCAAACGCCTTAAAAACACGCCACGTGTCCCGCTTCAATTCTTTCTCGTATACTCTCATCAAGACGTGTCGTGCCACGTGTTCGACGTCGCTGAGCTTGAGGCCAGCGAATGTGATGAAAACGGCGACTTTGATCGCGAGGCTTTGCGAGAGGAAGAGGTACGTGAGGTGCACGAGTGGTACGGAGGCGAGTAAGAGCAAGGCACGTGGCAAGCTTCCTGCTTTGAGTGCCATGAGGAAGAAGTAGAGGAGTGGTCTCGAGGAGGATGTTAGGGTTCCATCGAGATCTGCGACTACGGTTTGGTTTGATCGGTCTTCAGCGTTTACGTTGTAGTCTGAAATGGGTTTAAAGCGACGCCGTTTCCTCATCGTTCTCGTGAGCCATGAGTGTGATCAGTGGCGAAGATAGAGAGAAGAAATGAGTTAAAGACGTGTAGGACACGGTAACGTTAGTTTGTTGTCGGCTTCTAATCCGGTTTACTTTACACGCTCTTTTCATTGTCGATGAGGATAATAAAACATTTATTGATACAAAATTTGATTGATTAATAACACTACCGATCGAATTTTTAGCTAAATATATAGTCAGAAAAAAATATTCGGATATAATTCAATTTTTTGAAGAATTTGAGGTTTATAAATTTTAGCTAAATATATAGTTGTTTTTTTTAAAAAGATACACTAATACTTTATTTTTACTGATTCTTGCAGTATAATTGCTTGTTAAGGGGACTAGAAATAAATAAAAAATGTGTTTAAGGTATAGGAACTATCTCAATGTCAAAATTTATGTTTGGTTTTACAACTTTCACATGAGATGGCATTGCATGGAAGTACAACTTATAGAAAACTATTCCAACTATTGAAGAGACTAAAACGATGTCTGAAACAAAGGACTTGTCACCTGATGTAAGTGTTGAAGCCAGAGAGATGTACTGACTTGGTTATACCTTAATTGTCTCTTTTGGTCATTTCGAGAAAGAGTGTTGTGACACGTTGAGGAGATGTTAGTGTTGCCACTCTGTTAAACTCTCACAATTCATAAACAGAATGGAGACCAAACTCATTGTCAGTTTTGCCACTCTCTTAAACACCCAGGAGATATGAACCAACGAAAAATGTACCTTTTCTTGGTTGTACTTTTTCCTTATAGCAACAAGGGTGCTTCTACAGGTGTTGAGCTGCAAAGCCTCCATTGCAAGTACTGTGCTTTTAAGAGAAGGCGTCTCATATCTAGTATAGTGCAGTAGAGTTGGGTTCTGTATAGTAATAGCATCCACATAAGAAAAAAAAATCTTCCCCAGAAGCCATTTCACAGTCAAGAAATGTGAGCTCACCCAAGGATGGTTTGGTTAGATTGGTCAAGCGTCCATCTTGCTAAAAAAACAGCTGAGCACCATGCTCAGCACCTGAAAACAAGTTTCTCTGTTCAATCCTCTTGGAGATATATATGCATGGTTATTACTTGGAGTCTTGTGTATGTATTGTCTGTAGTGTAGCAAAACTGCTCCAACGTCAGTACACATATATTCTCTTCCTACTTTCTTCAGTGGCTCAACAAGAAAATAATAATGCGTTTAGTTACAACTTAAGAAAAAAATGCGTTTAGTTACACTCATTGCAATGTGAATTGTTAGAAGTGGGAACTCACGAGGCTATTAGCGTGCAAGTGACACCAAGAAGCAGGAGCCTCCGCGTTTCAATGTAATTGTTGGACAAGAACCGATCAATAAGGTTCACTGCAAGGTAAAGTGTATCTGAATCCAGCTTGTACTCTAGAGAAACCTGGAGGAAATAGCATTAACAAATGATTTGAAGTAGTATTAGTACACTTTCAAGTTCCTGCTCCACAAATTTTCAAAGAAAGGTAATAAAATATATTGGTTTAGTAACCTCCAAAAGCTAATCAATCAGAATTCCACGCATGCTTGGACAGATATCTTGCTGCACTTGCACCATATAGCTAGTTAAAGGTCTATGATCAAGCTGTGGCAGCAAAAAAAAAAAAAAACAGAGCTTAACTCAGAATCTTAGTATGTTATCATTTAGTGGAAATATATAATAAAATATCATTTAGTTCAAACCTCTGCAACATCAAAACTGTCATACATATTTGCAGCATATAACCGATGATCTTGGCCACTGTAATTGATATCTGTTGGGATTGTGAAAGCCCATGTCCAACTATTTATTATCCGATTAGTACAAAGTTGGTTTTCTTTCTAAAAGATCTCATACTAATTAGAGTTGGGCTTCTCTTTATACATTAGTTCTCATTGTCTAATTCTCCAATGTGACTTCTCTTGTCCATCTATGGAGGAGACTCTCAAGGATCCAACCATCTTAATCTTTGACAAATCTTCTGCTAGTTTTGATTTTTCGGCATCCACATCTACCAAAACCGCCATCTCTACTTGATTACTTTCTTCTCGTCTTCTCTTGCTAGCCTGTCACGTTGTATGTTAAGAGTTAAGAACACAATTCAAAACACCAAAAACCCTCAAGATTGATGGATGATTATCATCACGTTATACGTTTCACTGCACTATATCACTAAGAAGGTATTTTCTAAAATCAAGAAAATACGAAAAGGAATGGTTTCTGTTGTGCAACACACTCGAATCAACTTCAAAGAAAACAAGGAAACTTAAGAGTGAAAAAAGCTATTGAGGCAAATACTAGTTTATGATTTGTATATTGATTGTGTGAATGAATAAATTTATAATCCATTATCTATTCTATTAAAATAGAGTCATTGTTAAAGAATAAAGAAGAAGGTTGTAACTCTCATTGTATTATTAATCACGTGGTTACACATATATATATACATACAAGAGAATAAAGCATATTCCTTAGGAGATAAGGATTGCTACAAATAAAGGGGATGATTATCCTAATCCTATAATGATTAGGATAACTACAACATATGGATAAATACAAGGGAGGATAATGA